AACTAAGGCAGTGACTGATTTTATATCCCTGTCACAGAGATCATAACTCTGTTTTCATTTAGTTCTCTTCATCATCCGGTCTACTCTGACACAAGAGTAAAATGTTAGTTCCCCGTTGGTTTTACAGGTTGGTCTGGTGTCTGATGATAAACTAGTTGATTTGCTTGATTTGGCACTATCTGCCGACACGGTGAACACAGTGAAGACACTACGAGACATCACAGAAACTGGTGTTGAGCCTTTAGCACTGATGTCTCAGCTTGCCACAATAATTACTGATATTCTTGCTGGATCCTATGCATTTACTCGAGAAAGGCCCAGGAGAAAGTTCTTCAAACGTCCTACCTGTAAGCAATGTTCATTAACCACAGTATAGTTCAAAATATGTATTGTCTTCCAGCGTCACTGTTCTCTTATGGTAAAATTCTGCACTGGCATAATCTAGTTTCTTTTCTTTTGGCATGAATTGCAGTGTCAAAAGAAGATATGGAAAAACTACGCCAGGCCTTGAAAACACTATCTGAAGCTGAAAAGCAGTTGAGGGTTTCTAGTGACAAGACGACCTGGCTTACAGCTGCTCTGCTTCAGCTTGCTCCTGATAAACAGTACCTGTTGCCTAGTTCATCAACTAGTACAAGTTTGAACCATGGTGTGCTGGTTGGCTCCTTTCCTGATAGGGGTATAGGGAGGACCTCTGCAGTTGAGCATAAAGGTAACGTGGCAGGCACGTCTTATGGTGAAAGGAGAACTGTTGAACACACAGAAAATGGTCATGTGTTGTCAACCAGTTCTGTCAGAGCAAATGAGGGAACTAAACACAGAAAAGCAGAAAATGAAATGATCTGGCAAGCTGTGCTTGAGAGTATCCAATCAGATACATTGAGAAAAATGATGGCTAAAGAGGCAAGGCTAAACTCTGTCAGCCTAGGCACAGGTAAGGTTCTCAATCTGTCATCCATATCAGTTTTTGCGATCATCACAATTTGTCCAAGAATAAGATATCCGTAATTCGGTGTTTCATATTTGCAAAAAAAAAAAAAAAGATTCGGTGCTTAGAACAGAGAGGAAAAGCTCATTTTGAAATATTTTGTAAACAGTATAAAAAGACATTTCAACCAAGTTTTTGCTTGATTTTGTCTGTGGTATGTTTCTAGTAACTCTTGGATTTTTTCTGAAGTTAGATGCAGTACTCTTGCTTTTATCTCGGCTCATTGCTCTGAACAAAGTATCGGACACTGGGTTGATGGCATCCTTTTGAGTGTAGGAATACAAACATTATAACTTTAAGTCAAAGTGTATGCAAGAAAGTAGCGATGTAGGAGCATGTAGCTAGCTAAGCTCATCTAATTCTATTTGTAATGTTTTAAATTTTACTGTTGTCGCCTTGCACATATATTCTAAGCTGCAATGCCTCTGATAATTGGTGTTCTCAAACTCAATGCATATAACTTTATGTGGTCTTTCACTTGAGTACTTGATGTGAAGTATTGCTAGATTGTCTTTCTAGCAGATCATTTTCTAACATCAGCTTCTTTTCTTCCAACAGCACCAACAGTGCAATTAATATTTAGCTCACGTATCAATAAGTCCAAAGCTGAAAACTACAGAGCTCAGATTCTGCAGGCATTTGAGTCTGTTCTTCGTTCTGCTATAATACTTGAAATCCGATATGAATCAAAGAATGATGCAAAAGCAAGTCATGCTGCATCAATGTTTCCTTACCCTGAGAATGACTCCTCCAATGCGACTCTGAGGAGGTCCTTTACTAAACATAGTCCACTATCTTCTGGAGGTGAGAATCTAATTACAAGGCTTAAAAAGGATAGTGTTGTGAAGGGAACTAACTCTAGTAAGATTAGATGGATGCAATCTGATCCCCACATATTAACAGAAGGTGAAATAATTGAAGTTGGACCTTCTCACATGCATTGGCATGCTCAAACAAATAATGGTGTTGTTGACATAAATGAAAGAAGAAAGGAGAATGTATGGGAGGAAGAAGCTTCGTCATCACCGAACCAAGAGAGCGTGACTAATCGAAAAGGAAGAAATGGGAACACACAGCGTCGACAGAACAGCATAGTAAAAGGAAAGGTATCTCTTGCTCATGTTATTGGGAGGGCAGAAGCTTGTTCTCAACGAGGAGGCTGGTCTAGACGAAAAGCTATATCGATTGCCGAAAAGCTAGAGCAAGAGAATTTGTAAGTGTTATTATCCTGCAATCAACTCAGTCAAACTTTTATATAAGAACTCATGCTTGTGTGTTTGTGTTTTCACATTAGAAATAAAATAAATCTCATATGAAAAAAATTCTGCCAACATCCACGGTCTCATAATAATTTTCTTGAAACCACAAGGACCATTAAACATGTAGGAGTCAATACTCCATACCATTGTACCAGACATGTTTTGGGTCATTTGCCAATTGAGGTTGTGCATTTGTATTGCATGTTTCTCACCAGGAAAGTATTTGTGCGCAGGAAGTTGGAGCCTAAATCAAGTCTACTTTGTTGGAGAACTTCAAGGACTCGCCGGAAGGTAATCTTTCATATTTGTATTTTATCATAATCTGTGGATACCCCGATGGATTCAGTGTTACTGGTTCTTTCAATGCAAACTTTCATTTTAGCTTGTATCAGCTATTTTCATCTGTGAGACTTGGACTCGTTTACATATCAGTCTGGCAAAATTCGAGACAATTCATTTGCATATATGACTCTTTAAAGAAATAGATCTTATCATGTCACGTATTTGTTTCAGTAGAAGAGTACCATACGACCATGCATCTTAACAGAATAACCAAGTGCCAAGGGAGATGAACATTCTAGGACTCTTGATTCTGAAGAGAAGAGAACTGGTGTCATCTTGCATTATGCTAAATTGACTTCTGCCATCCTTGCGGGACTTTACATCTCATTGAGTAAACAAGTGAATAACTGGTTATGACAATTTTATAGATGGTATTTGCCAAAATTGTGGTCAAAATTATAATAGCTTTTCGAGGTTTTGTGTGGTTGTGAGTACTTTCGTGATAGTATAATCTTACTAGGTTTTATAGGTAGGTCAGGATATCATTAGTAGTCAAAATCGTGTTCCGGAGAGCATGGTGCTGTCCAAAACAGTATTTTGTAACGGGAAGGGTGAGCCTGAGTTTCTGGGCCGATTGCAACAACTTTGGATCCTCCATGGCTTTCAATAGAATTGTGCTTGATGATTTTACCTTCTCCGACTAATCCAATTATTTCCCTGCAGCTCTCTTCAATTAAGGTCAGGAATCGAAGGTCACGCACCATATCAAGGCTCATATTGTGTGGAAGATGCATTTCGACCAAATCTCCAAGATAGAAGAATTAGAATAGTGGATTTTACAACCTGTTAACTTAGCATTCATAATTATTCTGTCTGTACCTTGTAGGCTGTAGCTCTGTCAGTTTGTAGATCCTTTTTCTCTCTATATATATTCTGTATATTTGTTGACATGTAAAAAACGATGATAGAAGTGGCATAGCAAATTCTTCTGTCAAAATGCTCTGTAATTTTTTATAGGCAGACCGGAATAAAAACTTTGTATTTCGGAAATCTCTAATAAATGTCTTTGGTATCCATGGACACTGAACCTATGTGTGTACATGAAAAAAAAATCTTCATGACCCTCCCTCCAAGAAAAAACAAATTCATGGCTTGTACTACTCCCCTAAATTTCTCATTTAAATAAGACAAGGACTACACCAACGTCCTTTACATCTACCTAGTCCATCTAGTCTCGTGACTTGTTGCCATGCATGAGAAATATGGTTGCCCGGTTGCCCCGATGGGTCAGCAAAGGTTGTTCACGTCTTTCTTTAATTGCACTCGTCCTCTCTCTTTCTCTCCCAACACGGCTGAATTATAATACAACATCATTCAGTGTCATGGCAATGGTGAATGCATTATTAGGACCTTTTCACATAAGCAGTCCCGTTCGCTTCGCTGAAAAATCAAGCCGAAACACTGTTCCGGCTGATTTGTTGTGAGAGAAAAAAACACTGTTACAGTTGAAAAAAAACAAACTGAAAAGTACGGATTATAAGACAAGCGAACATGGTTGTATTTTATCAGACTTTCCACTACAGCACCAGTTATATGGTGAATAATTCGGAAAGTGCAAAGGAGAACTAAGATTTTTTTTCCCTATTTGAAACATTTTGAAGGTGACAGATAGTTTGACCAAGCTAGATCGCAGTGCCGGGCTACCGACGTTTGTTGTAACAGTAGTCCGTCAGTAATTTTCTTTCTGTTCTTTCTTGGGCCTGAGTTTATGTGTGTCCATGTGGGATCTGGTCAGGGAAACTGATAATAAGTTTGTTAATACAATACACATCCCACATACAAACTCAACCCCATTTTTTGAAGTCAAATTGGAGGCAAATGCACCATGCATGATTAGACAAAACTGCACACCCTCCACTGACCTTATGCTCATCAACATCTGAGTAAGGCCTCACAGTTTAATGTCACTACATCACAAGGACCGTCCAAAGACAGACCTTACAACACTGTTACTGTTATGCCTGCTGAAACTAACTCCTTCAGATGCTCCTCTGTTTAATGAATCCAACCAGCCTGAGCAAAATTACATACATTTTGCACCCTCTATCAGAGTATCAGGAACCATGTCAGATTGTTCAGCAGAAAGTTCTAGATAGGTAGGCAACTGTGCATGAAATGATCCACATCAGGTGACCAAAGAACAGCCAAGTTGTTCACTAATGAAAAATGTAAACCGAGGCAACAGAAGTTCATAGGTTGAAGATTGAGTTGGGTAAAGACCAACCTGACAACTGGAGGTTTCATTTGCTCATTGCGGTCGACAGATAAAAGTTCCAAAAAATGGAACAGGTGGACATAAAGGCAACACGAGCAGGCAAAGGAATCACCCTGATACGCACATAAAAATAACTAGCATAAAAACCAGTTGCATTGCTCTAATGGATTAAGCAGCGATTAAAAAGGCACCCAGTTTATTCAACCATAGCCATCATTAGAAACATCTGACATGAATATGAAAAATGAGAAGCCAAGTATCCATACCCAAAGTTGACAATCGATACAGGAATCCAAAACTTAAACCCTGTGACATCCATAACAAAGTGAAACATATAATAGTATCAGTTATTTCTGTTAAAGTTGTTCAGATCTAATACATTCAGGTAGAAGGATTACCGTATAGAAGCGTAGGAAGGGCATCATTCTGATATTTGGATGGGAGTTCTGAAAGTTTCCCCAACCATAAGTTGTTCCAAGCAAAAATTACAGCAATAACACAAGGACCAAGCACAATCTGGTTCAGGATGACCTGAAATGACAAATAGTTATAAGAAAAAGGATGCTTTGCATTAAAAAACTTAAATAGCCATGGAGAAGCTAAGCATACCTTAGCAGACAAATTTACAAACGTCTGCTTAGGCATGCACCGATCAAGGAGCTGATACCATGCATATGAACCTGGACCATAAAGAAGAAATCCATAGGAAGCCATACGAAGCGCACGAATCCAATCATGGTTCAGCAATATGTCTGGTATGAGTTCCTGAAACAAGCACCTCGATAGATACCAGAATCACAATATGATGTGCTACACAAGCATTCATTAGAATGCCCAATGCTACAATGCCAGCACCATATATACTATCCAAAAATTTGTTTTGGTAGTGCTGGATCACACGTGCACTGCACAATGCACATACTTGACCATTACAATTTAATCTGCATTGAAGGCAAAAAATACTAAAGTGGAATTGCGTTGTGGTGGCATCTGCTATGGTCTCAAGATACAGCCATACAAAACCAAAATCTATATGGATTGACAAAACCAAAACCTATATGGATTTACAATACCAAAAATCTATATGGATTTAAGTTGCTTTCATGCTTTCTACTCCCTCCATTCCAAATTATAGGAGTATAAAAGCAATAACATCTTAGAATTTGGGACGGATGGAGTATTAAAAAACACTATAAAGAACACTACCAAGTCGGCTAAGCATTCAAGGCATAAGGTGCATGACAAAGTGGATGGGTGACCTTGGTGTCGGAGTCGGGACAGCATCTTCGGCGGTCGACGATGCGGCTGCGGACTTGCGCGATTGTGTCGCCGGTGAAGGTGAGAGAGGCGGCCGTGACAGCCTGCCTGAAGGGGAATTCGATGGGCCAGCCGCGGCCCTGCTCGATGGACTCCGAGGAGGAGGACGACGAGAGCGGCTCCCGCGGGGGACCGCGGCGGCGGCCGCGGGGGTCAGGGTTGCGGCGGCGGCGGCGGCGGGAGTCGGACTTGCGGCGGAGAGACGGGAGGTTCCACCACCACTCCCCGCCGTTCCCTATGGCTTTCATGTTGGCGCGGCGGCGGCGTGAGAGGGTGCTGAGTGCTGGCCGCTCGAATCGAAGCCTGAGGCAGAGCGCGGAGCTGCGCTTGAGGAGGGGAGGCTCCGATAGTGTCGAAAGGCTCCGAATCCTCCGGGGGTCAGTGTCCCTGCCGGTGGGCTGCGACGTCAATGTGGGCTCTTATTGTAAAGTGTGAACGTAATCAGTGCAGTGCTGGGCTCCTCCCATGACCATCAAACGGCCTTTTTCTTTAATTTTCTTATATAGGCTTCAAAACGGCCCTTAGCATCTCTGAGAAGGCACCCACAACCTTGTACCAACGGCCCAAGTTGGGTGGGCTGCTTACATTTCCACGGTCTCGCCCAAAAGGGCTTTCCGTGCGGCCTCTCAGGCATGTCTCCATTCAAAAAAAAAAGGGCTTCCTGTCGACCTGTCCTGTCCCTAGTCGCTGCACTGCCTCTGAATTTTTAAGAAAAAGGATAGACAGCCTTTGAATTAGATGATCATTATAATTTCATCTCATCAAAGATGATAAATATAGTTCCATAGACTACAGGTGAAAGCACTTCAATCTTATGTGCTCAGTCTAGATACTAGATGGATGTACTAAATCTCATAGGGGCTGATTGGTTGCCCGAACAAGCCCATCCTTGCACCATTTGCTTGCTTCACTTCATTCATATGTCGTGTTTGGTTCCCCGCCTCGCACACTTTGCCTGCTTCGTTTCATTCTACTACCCTCCACCATCCCACATGGCTCCGTCTTCTTAATTTCCATGTCCCTCGAGATGCAGGACCACACGATGCACCCATGGTATAAGGGCCCATGTGTCATACACTCAAAACTCTTATCCATGCATGCAACCAAACAAGATCACATCTCGTACCGGACCAACAACAAAGACAACCAAACACGACTAGGTGCACGATTTAAGCATGCATCTCACAATCCTGGGTTGCCTCTCCATCATGGCTCCCCATCACCAAAGCAACCAATCATGCCCATAGTAGTTCATAGAGCGAAGCAAATAGTTCAGACATAAACTAGAAGACCTTGTCCCATGATGCCCTCCCTCCTTTGAGGGCTTGAGCAGTTGAGAGTGTATGGATCAAACAGCCCCAGATTGCGCTGATGGTATTGCTAAAACTATTCATACAGACATGCATGCTGCATTATGCTGGTGACCAGCTTAACATATGCCACAATCATTTTCTGTTTCCTTTTTTCTATTTCAAAACACCAGCTGTTCCCGCGTTCCCATCCAATGCTAGGGAGGTTTGAGCAGGCCATGAAGTTGCACTACACCCTCGCTCTCTTCCGATCCCTAGATAAACTAACCAGTGGTCGAGCTTTTTGTCAAACAGGATGGAGTTTTATTTGGGAGCAGAGGTAGCGGTGACTGGTGAAGTGGTGAGCGAGAATCTGGTGCTGCCTGCGGGCTGGTGTGATGCCGCTGCCACCGAATTTTTTATTTTTTAGTTTTTTTTTTGAAATTTTTTCACAAATATGTCTCTAGAGGTAAGATTTTAAAATCTGGACCCTTAGCTCGGTGCCAGCTTCAAAATCTGGACCCTTAGCTCAGCGCTTACACGTCTCGGCGCCATCGTTGCTGGCGCCGAGCTCTTGGGCTTGACGCAGACGTGACGGTGACATGGCAGGCAGCTCGGCGCTGTAGATCTTGGCACCGAGCTCGGCGCCGTGCTTACTGGCACCAAGCCTGTCTTACGTATGGGTCCTCCTTTCCTTTCTCACTTGCCCTCCCTCTCTCTCGAGCACCGCCAGCGCCCGCCCGAACCAGCGCACCGCCGCCGCTGCCCGCGCCAGCGCCCTCTCCCACCCCCGGCCGTCAGGCCCGGTCCTGTCAATTTATAGACCTAGAGCGAAGTTACAACGATGGACCCTTTAATACAACTCTAATAATATAGTGATGTTTCTAATAAATGTAATGCATACTAATCATTCTTATGAAACTAGTTATACATCTTATCTTAACTTAAAATTTTTCTTTTAACATTTACTGCTGCGAAGTCATTGATGATGGCCTCAATATCAATTTCATCCACAGCAACTATTGTCCACTCATCTGGATTTCTTGTAGTGCTTGTATTACTCTTAAAAAATTTATCAATAGATCCTCTTTGTGATTCTATCAAGCCCTCTATCCTTCTCTTCTTTTTTCTTTTCTCATTTTATGCATGCTTTTTGGGCAACATGAGTTCACTGTAAATTTAGAAAAGTAGTAAGTAATTAAAAAATATGTCATACTAAATTCAACATGGTTGCTGCACCATATGGGATTCCTAAATCCCAAATCTAAAGAAGTAAAGAATAAAGATTGGGGACAAGAGCAAATATTGATTAGGGGCTTGGCCGCTTAGGGCCGATTTCTTAATTCTTACCTCCGATATCGAAGACCACGAAGCCGAGAACAGACGGAAGTGGATGCCGCCGCCAGCAGCCTCTCGAACTCGAGATCACCAAGACGCATGGGATCGCTCATTGCTCGCATGACCTCGCCTGACGGGATTCGGCGAGTCGCTCACTCAGCGTGGGAAGGCGGAGTCGCGGTCAATGTCTTGACGGAAGGGCACGGAACGCAGGCGGCGAGCGAATCGACGCCAGAGTCGGTATGCTCGGTTCGATTGTTTCTATGGGCCATAGAAAGAATACTACTTCTACTTGCACATTTAGGGTTGCCCCCCTGGCCTCGAGGCCCCAGTGCGGCAGCCCAGCTTGAACCCCCCAGGGTCGGGTCTGTCGGCCGCCCGCGTCGCGCTGCCGCCGGCCGCCCCCCCACGCCCGCCTCGCCCGCGCGGACTCGCCCCGCCGGACCTCGCGCCCTCCACGTCCGCGTCCCACCGTCTTTGTGCCGCACCAGCCACGCCATGCGCGTGCCGCCCAGCTGCATACTACCACCGCCATGCGTGTCCGCTTTGTTGCGTGTGCCATGCCCATGCGCCACCAGGCTGCCCATGCCCGCCCGTCGCGGTGCCCACCACGCTGCCTGCGCCCCGCCATGTCGGCCTCGCCACACGGAAGGCCAGCCATCCGCGCCCATGCATGGCATCACCACCCCCCACCCCCCTGGCGCCCGGCGTCTATTGCGACTCGTCGACGTCATGACTCCGTCATTGGACAGGTAAAAATTATGAATATGCAATGTACGTACTTAGTTAGCTTTGATTGTAGTGTAGTAGTTTTGGCATTTGTTATTTACTAGTTAATGTGATGACTCAGGTAGTTGATTTAGTTAGTGATCTAGTGAGATAGATATGTAGATAGATAGAAACATAGATACATAGGTACATACTTATAGTTAGATAGCTACTTAGATAGGTAGTTATATATTTAGTTAACTAAATAGGATTTAGCTATTTAATGAGTACATTATATATATATATGTAGTTATTATCTTATTTACTTAGTTTCTAGTTAGAAAGTACTTGTTAGGTACTATCTATCATCTAATTTGGACTAAAGGACATGTATTTCGTTATGTGTTTGAACTAGATGGATAACCTAGTGACCATATATCATGGAGGCACCGTTGAATACGATCGCTATAGATATGTTGAGTTTGTTGACATGCAAAGCATGCCTATGCTATTCAATGATAGGCCTTCATTTAGTGAGATGGCTGCAAGGGCTCAGGAGGAGTTGCATTGCCTTGGAGATGATGATGATGGCATTGCAGTCGAGGGTGTACTGCACCTAGGTTCTCCTCCCAACATCCTCTAGCGAATGATCCCAATTGGGTGTGCGAATCAGTGGGAGAACTATGTGAGATCGGCTATGAATAGCCAGCTGTAATGTTTGGACGTGGTTGTGCGTCGGGTGTTAGCTGATCCCATCCATCATGGGTTTCCCCCACCAATGGGTCAGTAGGCACACATCGACCCTCCTGTCCCGGAACCTGATATGGATGTGGAGGTTACACCTACGGTTCTTGATGCTCAATCTGCCCCCAATGAGGTAGTTAGAGATGCTTGTTAGACTCATATTGTTGTGGCAGATCCTCCTTACGAGATCCCTTTGACACAAAATCATATGAGTAAGTGTCTTAACCGCATGGTTATTGGGAGCTTACCCCCTTCCTTACATCCATTTCTTTTATTCTTTCCTCATTTCTCTACTTATGTTGCAGGAGACATTCCTGAGAATATGGATGTGCCCCTGTTGCTGCGCAAATGCACTGTGGAGATGGATTCCGTGGCTCCCCTAGTGTTCAAATTATGAATGATTCGGAGCCATATGAGATGGCAAGGGCTCTTAATTTTGATGATGATCGCCCTGTTGGAGAGCTGACAGAGAGTGATGTTGAGATGCTGAGGCATATCTTTCCCGGCCACCGTGATCCAAGAGTTCACGAGTTCAGTGATCTTGCTCATTCCGATCAGGCGTGTGTAGAAGGACGTGATGATGAGCTCCTAGAAGCTCCTGAGGCCGTCCTAACATGGTAATTGAGAATGGGAGGATATTCAAGGACCTCCCTGCATTGAAGAGGTGGTTCTAGGCGTTTATAGTGATACAAAAGAGACCTTACAAGGTCTTGCCTTCATATGTGGAGCGCCGTTACACAGTTGTGTGTGACAAGGAACGCTGCCCATGGAGGGTTTGTGCAAGGAAGCAAAAGGTCACCGGAAAGTGGAAGATCACAAAAGTTATCGAGCCACACAATTATGCTGACCATGAGTTGACACTAAAGCATCGGTAGTTGACATCTACCCTCATTGCTAAGCGATTGATGGGAATATTACAGGGAGAACCCAACATGAAGGTTAGGACAATTATCAGGACTATTGAGGCGTTGTATGGAGGTTATGTGATAACTTATGGTAAACCTTGGAGGGCTAAGCAGTGAGCGTGAAAGATGATATATGGGGACTGGGAGGATGGGTACGAGCAACCGTCAGTACTTTTCAATGCAATCAAAGCGGTGAATCCAGGCATGCATTATGAGTATATCCCAAAACCAAATGCATGGAAGGATTGAAGGCAGATATTTTTC